ACGCACCGGACGCAATAAAAAAGAACAAATGCTAACGCGCAAGGACGACACAAAAAAGGAAGACACTTTTTTCTCTAATATACTGTCCTGTGCCATTTTAATTGTGTTCTCTTCTTCGGCTCGGAAGTTGGTGGTGCGATAGCAGTCTCAGCAACAGTCAGTACACAACATAGGGTCGAAAAGAATTTAACGTGCAAATTATTCACATGCATTCAAATCATGTTCTCACAGGTTAGCTGCCAACTGCTCCAGGGGGATTGAAGAGACGCGGCTAGATTCAAGCTTGTGAATAGGTGATATAATTAATACCTGGTCGCTGATAACTACCAAAAAAATCTTGTAATCGTTTTACTTCTTTTTACTGAATACATAAATAAATGTACAATTTCCGAGGAGTAGGATGCGTTCACTAAGTTGCTGACTGGGGACACACAGAAGAGTTGGGCGGCGGTGGGATTCGAACATACGTCCTCCGGGACCTTCACCGCTTGACGACTATAGCCTGCGAGGTTTCAGATTCGAATCTTGTTGCTGTCACCTTGTGTTCCAGCTGTTTGAATCTACACTGCTAGTATACTCAACATCCATTGCGAGTATTGCGCGGATAACTACTGAAAGTCCCTAAGCTTAGATCATCGATCCCCAGGATGACACTAAATTATAGAATTTAGAAAAAGCGATATCACATCCCGCTAGAATCGGGTGCGATGAGCTTTGTGAATTCCGGACCAATTCATAATTTCAGTTTGTGGGAGGATCAAGTGTGTGGGGAAATGTAGCGATTGTGTGCACTGCAAACTCACTTTGACTGTAGCCATGGCACAACTGAGTCCGGCCAATTCCATGAGTTGATCAACAGAGAATCCGTACTCGGTAAACAGTTCCTGGTCGATTTGTTGCGCCTCTGCTTGTCTGTTCAAGTGGAATGCAAAAACACGGCACAGTAAATCGATGATCGCAGAAAATAGAGGGGGGGGGGGNAGTGATGTGGCATGATATGCTGTTCTCAGTTAAAGCGGTTTTATGAGACCCCCACATATGAACTTAATTCGCTAACGAAATCCAAACTAGGAAACCAGAGAGAGAGAGAGAGAGGTCAATACAAGAGGCGACTAGTTAAAACTACACAAAATGAACACACGCCACTGCACGTTAGTTGTACATCGCACATTGTTGCCACAATCGCGAGCATACACCCGCATTGCAGCCAAAATATACACACTGATGTTTTCAAGAAAATCGCTTTCGTATTTAACTCACAGTTACTTGTGAGTAGTGTGTATGGGATGATCGATTGGAATGGATTGGAATTAACAGGTTGTACCTGTCTCCCTTCGTTGCTGTCGGGCAAATGAACTGACTGACTATCATTGAAGACAGCACCTGAACAAACATGAATTAGCAATTTGGTTCACCCAGGGCATGAGCTGGTTGGCGCAGTGGTAACGCACACGCCTTCCATGCGATAGGTCCGGAGTTCAAATCCCGGACAGGACGGTGGATATGCACTACTGATTCGCTCTAATAAGAGCGAAACTCGAGTCTAGCGCTTCCGACTGTATGGTTGAATCGATGTACTGCGGATTGTGCGTGAAGGTGAAGTCCGAAGGGTAGTAAGTCAAATCAATCAAAATCGCTTTCAATAAGCCATCTGACGACTAAATGCGTGTCAAGTACGGAACCGGTGAACATTTGTACACATTCATCTGCACCCAAATATGGCGGAATTTCGATTCTGTAGACAGATAAGTGCGACAGTTGTTGGGAGGGGGACCTATGGAAATAGAGGAGTGCAGCCAATTTCACGCTAGTTCAATTTTTACCGGCTCTTTTGCTATTAAGTTGTCAGTGATTGAAACCCATGAGTAAAGAGTGATTTCTTTTACTGTGCTTGTACTGGTTCTGGCCAAATTTGTATGAACCTGGAGCAGAGTGGAAATTCCATGTGGATCGCCACATCGGACCTGATGAAGTGCATTCACGTGACCCAAAAGGAACAGCAGCATCTACAAAAAGGCCTTGAGTGTTTTTTTTCCATGACAGATGATTTGTCATTTGACGAAGATGTCTGAATCACTGACGGGATGGTGGTAGAGGGGGGGAGAAGAAGCACTCCCATCAAGTTGGAGAGGTATTCCAAAACAACACATGCTGATAAAGCGAGCTCCCAGTGAGTTTTCAAGACGAACCAGGTAATATCTACTAGTGCTCTATAAAAGTTAAGGTCAGACACATTCGAAAGCTATCAAACCAAGAGTGCACGATCTCCGGACGAGTTATGACTTCAACAGGACGGAACTTTTCTCATTCATCGACCCTGTGTTCGCAACTAAGACAAAACTGCATATTTTAGGGCATTCTTATCACCACGATCATCATCATCGTCGAACAGCGAAATACAGTGAAGCGAACTTCACTAATCGGTGACAAACTCGCAATACATATGCATTGGGGTTTGATAGACGGGTACTGTCAGGGTGCCCATCCACTAAGCGGAAGAACGATTAGGGTTGTCGTCGAAAGCCTGTAGTTCCGAGAAGAACCTAGCCGCAAGGCAAGAGGGGGGACGAAGTGGAGGCCCATTTACTAGGATGAATTACTCCCCAACCACTTTTTACCGACTGCAACGCAAATTCTAGCCGAACCCCCAACCTGGAGGATTAATTGATAGAAATTTAATTAATTGATTAATTTTGATTAATTGATAAAGGTGTGAGTGTGGAGAGACCATCTCGGTCTACAGATTTCAGTACCACTGAATTCTGTAATGGAGCTACCTCCGAAGCGAAAGAAAAGCATGGACTCTGGAAGTAACGATGTGGACAGTCTCATTTTCCTAAAAGAAAAAACACTTTTCTGTATTATTTTGTATTTACTTACATCAAATTCAAATTTCTATTTTCTTTTGCTCCAAAAAGGGGGTTCCGATTACACATATGCGCCAACCAACTGTAATCCCGCTTCCCATAAGGAAGAATTTTACAACAAACTCGCCGAAATTATTCGGGTGAGCCGCAGCTCTGATATTATAGTGCTGGCGGGTGACTTTAATGCGCAGGTTGGAAAACTGAGCGCGTTCGAAGCCTGTCTAGGAGAGCACTTCGCTCTCCCCGCACAGTGAACAGACAACGGTGATCGATTACTTCAGTTCTGCGCGGATCATCGGTTGTTCTTATCTAGCACTAAATTCCGATATGGCTCTCGCTGAACGGCTACATGGTGTTCTAGTTCAACGGGAAAATTGATCCAAATTGACCACATAGTTGTAAGCTACCGTTGGCGTGGTTCAGTACCAAATTGCAGGTCCTATTGGTCCATCTGCGTTGAGTCGGATAATGCACTAGTTCTATTTCGCTTCACTCTTCGACTCGTTGGTCATCGGCAAAAATCGCCTCCTCAATTAGCTCACCATCGTCTGCGAGATCTATCTGCCTGCGCACGTTATGAGAAGAAGCTGGGACAGGAGCTAGGAGAATCGTACCATGGTGGAGTAGACCAACAGTGGAGTCAGATTAGATCTGCGATGCACTCAGTAGCAAACTGTGCTTGTGGGACCGAGTCCGAAGTTCGCCGAAGATATTTGATTTCTCAGGAGTCAGTAATCCTAATGGATCAAAAGTGAAAGATCCCAATCTGCCAAGATCAGCATAAGGACCGGTGTCGTCTGCATCGTCAACTCAGGAATAGCCTTAAGAAAGATCGCAAAAATTGGTGGGCCAAAATAACTAGTGAAATGGAGGTAGCTTCTGCATCAGGGGATAGTCAAAGATTATTTCACCTGCTACGCAGAACCGAAGGTCGTCGCATACCGGTCAATGAGACTATTTGCGATAAAAGTGGACAGAGTATCCGCAGTAAAGAACAACGGCTTAGTAAACAGTTCAATTGGCCCAGTGCTAATGCGATCATTCCAGCAGTTGCGGTGGAAACCCCATGGGTGGTAACATGCGATCCCCTCCCATCAGAACCGGAAGTACGAAGCTGCATTCAATTATTAAAGAACGGAAAGGCTGCATGGACCTGATGGGCTTATTCCGATTCTTTACAAGGTAGCCAGTGATTCTCTTGTCGACTTGATTACTAGCTTACTTCGCAGCATTTTGACGGGGGAGCGTATCCCTTTGCTCTAGGGTAAATAGTTGATCGTCCCGGTCTTCAAGAAGGGATCAAGCAACGGCTGCACTAACCACCGCCGGATTAGTTTAGTTCCGTTAGTCACAAAAGTGTTGACTTCTGTGATACTTCGTCGCCTGACAACCTTAAGGGAGAGGAATATCCGCGAACAGCAAGCCGGATTCCGACCAGGTCGCGGGTGCATCGACCAAATCTTCACTTTGGGTTAAGTCTTCGAATTGCGTCATACACATCGTCGGCCCACAATCGCAGCGTTCTTTGACCTAAAAGGAGCCTTCGATTCAGTTGACCATGAAGCTCTTATGGGGTCGCTGCTTCGCAAATGAATGCTGCAGAAGTATGTAAACCTATTGCGGTCGCTGTACTTGCATACTTCTGTTAGCGTAAAGGTCTATGGTGGATCAAGTAAACCACTCGAAACGAGGAGCGGTGGTCTTCAAGGGTGCCCTATTTCACCATTCCTGTTCAATTTCGTCGTGGACGAAATACTGAAGAACGCACTTAGTGGTCTCCAAAACGTAGGCATTGAATGGGTAGCTGGGGGAAAGCTATACTATTTAGAGTACGCGGATGACATCGTATGCCTGTTCGAATGTATGGAGGATGTGCAAAGCGCTCTTGACAGACCTTCAAGTTCTGTAACTCCTTTCGGCATGTGCTTTGTACCTTCAAAGTGCAAAGTGATGCTACAAGACTGGATGTCGTCTACCCCAGCGCTGATGCTTGACGGTCAAGAGTTAGCTGTAGTGGAATG